GATTGCAGCTGCAGGAATGGCAGACTCATTAAAAACAGTAGCCAGTGTGTTTTCTGACAAGAGGGTTCTGTTTATTAACAGTGTGCCTTTCTTATCCATTTTTTCCTTTGCTTTATACTTTGCAGTGCCTTTTGGCAAAGTTGGTTACTTTCACATCTTGAGGGGCCATATCTGCTGGTTATTTTTATTTCTTCTCTGCGGTATAACACAGAAGTCCCTAAGAGCAGGGTTCAAAATTTCAAAAGACAAGCTCACTGCCAACCATGTCTTGACTGGTTAAAAATTAGACAAAAGAGCAATGGCCCGTAAAACCCTTCATCTCTAGACACCCTGCTTCCAGAGTCAGTTTGACAAGGAGACCGGGGGGAAGAATGGAAGAAAACTATTTATTTCAGTCCTTGGAATTTAAAGAAAAAAGCCCACAGCACCTTTTGCAAAAGGGCAAGATGAGTCTGAGGGCTGACTCATGACAGCAACGCCTGTTTCTGTACAACCTGTGAGCTAAGCATTAAGAATGGGGACATGTGTATGCATATGGCTGATTCACTTTGTTGTACAACAGAAACTAACAGAGTATTCTGAAGCAATTATACTCCAATAAAGATTAAAAAAAAAAAAAAAGAATGGCTTTACATTTTTAAATGGTTGGGAGGGAGTGGGGGAGGGAGGATTGAAAAAATATTTCATGACATATGAAAATTATCTGAAATTCAAACTGCAGTGTCCATATATAAAGGTTTTCTGGAACGGAGCCAATATTTGTGTATCCTCTACAGCTGCTTCCCCATTCCAACAGCAGGGATGAGTGGTTATAACAGAGACCATCTGTGGCCCACAAAGCCTAAAATATTTACTATTTGTACCTTTACAGAAAAAGTCGGCTGCCCTCTATCCCATGGTCCCCCTTTTCCTGTGAAGGACAAGTCAGACCAAAGAAGCATATGTCACAGGCTGAGGAGCTGTTGGGCCTGCCTCTCACTGGCCCCGCAAGCAGTCTGGGGCTTGGCCTCGTCCTATGGGAAATGAGTCCATACACCCAAGATTGAAATAGAAAATTCCCTAACACTGGAACCTCTAATCTAAAAGGGAATGACCCATTTAAGCTCACATTTATGGGACACTTACCATGGACCAGACACCATGCAAAGTGCTGACTTGCAGCAACTCTTTTAATCCTCAAAACAATCCTGGGACATAAATACCTTATTAAGACTATTTTACAGCTGAGGAAACTGAGGTTAGAGGGGGTAACTAGTTCAGGTCTACACAGCTAGGAAGCGGCAGAGATGAGGTTTAAACCCATGCTGTCTGGCTCCAGGGCTCATGCTCTAAACACTCTGGATGTGGCTCCAAAAGATCTGAGCTTTTAATGCCGGCACACTGGGATTAAATGGGTTTAAACAAATTTATATATGTAAAGTACTGAGTGTAGTTCCTGAGATGTTGTATGTGCCCATAAGTGTTAGCTTTTATTAATTACTATAAATTTTTACCTTATTCCTTATTCCTTGAGTTTTTATCTTCACTGGCAAGATGGCCTTATCAAAACCCTATATTATATATATATCCTGTATATTAGATATATATATCCTATATTATATATATACCCTATGTATCCTGCATACTAGATAATTTATCATTTACAAGATCCCCACAGAGAAACTGAAATGCTTTTGTTAGGCAAACAAAGCATAGCATCTAATATTATATCCCTTAGTGGCTATTAAAAAATTCAATGGGGGGCTTCCCTGGTGGCGCAGTGGTTGAGAGTCCGCCTGCCAATGCAGGGGACACGGGTTCGTGCCCTGGTCCGGGAAGATCCCAC